AATAAAGAAAAAGAAAATAAAGATTTCCCTCTTTTGTGTGTACATTTTTTATTTATATACTTTATCGTTTTTAACTATACTCTTGAATTCTTGCAGAAATTCTGTTTTCTTTGACATTTATGCAACTCCCCATCCCACAAGCTCTCGTTATTACCATTTTACTCTGTTTTATTTTATTTTTTTCTTTTGTTTTTTGCGGAACCGGGGATTGAACTCAGGCCCTTGCACTTGCCGGGCAAGTGTTTATTCTACTGAGCTATCTCCCTGGCCCTTACTCTGTTTTAATGATGCAGATCCTTTTAGATTCTAAGTATAAGTGAGTTTATGCAAAGATTGCTTTCTAAATCTGGCTCATGCTTCTTAACACAATATCACATAAATTCATTTGTGTTGTAGAAAATAATAGGATTTTCTTCTTTAGGCCTGAGCAATATTGTAGACCACATTTCTTTATTTCAGTCATGATGGACTCTTAAGATGATTCCACATCTCAAGTTTTGTGATGAATACTCCCATTAAAGAGAGAGCTCAGATGTTTGTGTACATATTTTATAACTTTAGAATATGCCATTATAGTAGAACTGCTATATTATATTATCGTTTTATTTTTGAGGAAACTCAAAATTATACGGTAGTACATAGTAGCTGCACTAATTTACATGCTCACTAATAGTAATCAGCTGTCCTGTTTCTCTAACATTTATTATTCATCCTTTTGATAATACATATTTCAACAAATGTGCAGTAATATTTCATTGTGGTTTCAATTTGCATTAACCTGATAGTGATGCTGGGCATTTTTTTTTTAAACTTGTTAACTATTTCTTCTGTGAGAAATATCTACTTATTTCCACTTCAAAAGGTTTCTAAAATTTTTTTAGGGGGGTTCTTTTTTTTTGTATTTTAGGGAAGGGTCTACAGGGTGTTCAGGCTCTCACTGCTGGATCGGGACTCATAGTGATCCCCCTGTTTACAGCCTCCCAAGAGCTGGGATTATAGGCAAGCTACTACACCCAGTCTCAATTGCTGTCTCACCATGCCCTGGGGACAGGGCTGGCACAGCAGGCCCAGGGATCAAAGCCCGGGCCCCTGTGCCTGCTTACAGGTGCTTTAATCCACTGAGCTATTTAGCCAGCCCTTGGGGGAAGGGGTTCTTTTTATTAGGACATATTTTCAGTATATAATGATTATGTTCCTCAAGGGGAGTTTATACATGCAACATCTTCTTTTGGTGACACACCTTAATTTTGTTTTTCATACCTCTCTGCTCTAGTACCTCACCCTTTCTTCTATCTCTTTTTGCAAGAGATGCATTTCCCTAAATACTTAAAAACATACAGAACTTGTCTTTCTGTATCTCACTTGTTTCACTTAACCTTGTGACCTCTAGTTAAACTCATGTAAATTAAAGTATTATACTTTGTTCTTTTCATGGCCAAATAATATGGCATCTTGTATATGTTCTACATTGATATTGCATTTATCCAATTTAGGTCCTTTCAATTTACTTGGCAATTGTGAATAATGCTGCCACAAATGTAGATGTCTCTTCAATGCACTGATTTCATTTCTTTTGAATATATACTCAGTAATTAATTGCTGGATCACACAGTAGTTCTATTTTTAATTTATTTGAGGAGTTACCACACTGTTTTCCACAATGTCTGTACTCACTTGCATGCCCACTGATAGTGTGCAAGTGTTGTTTTTGTCCACATCCTCGCCAACCCCACCCATCTTGTATCCACTTGATAATAGCTATGCTTATTGGATGATATGATATCTTACTGTGGTTTTGATTTTCTCATCCCTGATGACTAATGATTTTCAACATTTTTCGTATGCTTGTTAGTCAATTGTATGTTTCCTTTGAGAAATGTCTCTTTGAGTGTACCGTGCATTGTTAAATTTCACTGATTTTTGCTATTGTGTATTTGGAATCACTGATACAGTCTAGATATCAAGTCGTTGTCAGATTTATACGTGACTGTCTTTCATTCTGTAGGTTCTCTTCATTCTGATGACTACTTCGTGGTGCAGAAGCTTTCTATATTGATGTAATCATATTTATCTCTTTAAAAATTTCTTTGCTTTTGAGATCTTGCAAAAATAAAAGAAAACCTATGCCCATTCCAAAATTCTGAGATATTTTTCTTATGTTTTCTTCTTGTAGGTTCATAATTTTAGATGTTGATATGTAAAAAATGCATCTTGACTTGATTTTTGTAACTTCTGAGAGAAATTCTTCTTTCATTTTTCTGCATGTGGCTATCAAATTTTCTCAATACCGCTACTTGAAAAGATTCTTACCAAATGCACGGTTAGAACCTTCGCCAAAGATTAATTGTCCATGGAAATGACATATTATGTCTAGCTTCTCTATTCTGCTCCATTGGTTAATGTGTCTATTTTGTACGAATATGATGTTGTTTTGCTTTCCATAGCTTAGTAGTGTATTTGCAAGACACATAGCATAGTGTCTCCTGCATTATTTTTTTTCTTAAAATGGCTCTTGATATACTGGATTTATTCTTGCCCCATACATATTTTAGGACATTTCAATATTTCTATAGGTTTGAATATTTTTCTGCTGTTGTTTCTTCACATGAACTTTCTATCAGTCTGATATTTTCAAGAACCTCTAATCAGCTTAATAGTCAAATTTTTAAACTATTTTTTAAAAATAAAGTTGCTATAAGCTTTCTTTTTTCCTCTTCATGTTTTTCTCTTCTATGTGTTTTAAAATACTTGGTTTTGGGCTCACTACTTCTCTTATCTGTTTGGTATATCCTGTGATGGATGCCTTCTATCGTAAGTTAAATTTTGCTGAGTCATTTTTTTTAGCTCAAGAATTTGCTTGATTGAAATAACCGTTCTCATGTCTTTGCTAAGTTTCTCTCATACAGTATTACATTTTTCTGTGTGTTTTCTTTAAATTCCTTGAGTTACCTTAAAGCAAGTGTTTTAAATTCTTTGATCTTTCCACACTGAATACCATCTGCTCACTATGTAGTACTACCCTCAGTTTTACTTTTGGATAATTTATAGTTTCAAGAAAGCTCTTTTTTTTTTTTTTTTTTTTTTTTTTTTTTTTTTGGTGGAACCAGGGATTGAGGTCAGGCCCTTGCACTTGCCAGGCAAGTGCTTATTCTACTGAGCCATCTCCCTGGCCCCTCAAGAAAGCTCTTGAATCTTGTTAGATAATATACCAATTGGCATTTAAGTACTATGCATTTATTCCACTCTTTCTAAACTAAGCTCTTCTTGTGCCTAACTTTCCATAAGTTCTAAGCAGGCTGCTTGTTTTCACTGAACCTGTAGTTACTTCCACTATTTCAGCAAAGGTGTTGCCAGAAGTTGCCAGTGGTGTACTGGTTCTATTTTAGCACTAGAGGGGAATGCAAACTCAGGTTAGTTCTAAATCCAAAGTTGTATTGTTCAGTGTGAACTAGGAGAGTACACAGAAATACAATTGGAAATAGTAGATAGATCTTTGTCTTTTGGGAAGGGAACTGAGGAGCAGAATGAGGTGGGAGTGGATGGAAGTGAGACAAAATGGGAGAATTGTGAAAAGTGTGTACATGCACCAAATCCCTATGAACTGAAGTGATCATGTACAAAAACATGTATAGATGTGTGTGTGTGTGTGTGTGTGTGTGTGTGTGAGTGAAGGGACTCAAGAGACACAGGGAGGGGGAAGGAAGTGAGGGGAAGGGCATAAGAAAAAGAACTAAGAAATGTTATGTACATATGCCAACTCATGATTAATGACTACTGCGATTACTGCTACTACCATCACCACCACCACCACTACCACTATTACTACTACTAAAAAGGTAATAACGACCTACCTCTACCAGATTTTAGTGGGGCCAATGTAGACCTAGATGCATAGCCACAGCCAGAATTCTAATTACTAGAGATGAGCTAGCACCAGGCTGCCTGCCACCCCTTGGCCATCAATACTGAAAAGCTGTCACACTCTGCCCTCCAAGCCCAGCACAGCACTGGGGAAGTACCAAGTCCTAGTTTTGTACTGTCTAGCTAACTGAATTTCTATCTTGCTTTAATCTTATCTTTGAGGACAGGATGTATAGTCCAGACAGCGGTTCTTCAGGTGGGACAGCCTACATTGAATGGATCTAAGATGTTTTTGAGAATGACCACTAGATATCCTGTATCTTCATTATTATTCCAACTATGTGATAAATGGCACACATATTCTAGTACCATGAGTTATTTGATAGTGACCATGACTAGAACTGGAGCAAAAGAGGAAAAAGAACCATTAACAGGAGTAGAAAGAGGTGACATTCAAGAGAAGGGAAACAAAACTTTGCCAGCAACCAGAAAAGACATGAAAACTTCAACCCTTTTACGAATTTAGCCTGGCCCTTCATTCCTTTCACCCTACCTCAATGAAAGAGAATTTGCAAATCTATCTATGTCTATTCTTCGCTGAAAATGCCAGTTTCATTTGCTGCTCAACTGATGCTTGGTCTTGTTACTAGTTCTACAATTTCAAGAGGGAAACAAGACCTAGGTTGAGGTAAAATATTAGTAATAAATGTAGTTTGGTGCACGTATAAACGGTTTGTCTTTCACAGAACCTACCCATCATCTTTCTCTGCTCCTCCAAATGATTTTGTTGTTTTCTATTCCTAACCCCTGGGGAAGCTAATATTTCTTATCTATTGATAAATTCAAGGGTCCTTCTCTACTACTGCCTTCTCAATCCAAGACCCAGCCACCAGGGGCCAGCTCCCCCCCCCCCCCAGAGGGCACAGGAACCAGCAGCGGAAGTGTGGCTCTGCGCATGCGCAAAGCCTCATGAAGTCACCTGGTCCCGCCTCTTGTCTGTGACGTAACTGTTTTCCCAGTGGGATTTCTGAGCTTGGTGCGCAGGGAGCCAGAGCGCTGGGCCTGGGGGCGGTGGTCAGAGGGCTCCACCTTGCTGCTCCTGCTCTGGTTACTACTGGCCTTCCCCGGCGGCGCGGACTCCTGTGAGCCCCCGTCAGCCCCGCCCGCGGCCACCTGCACCCCGACCACGGCCTCGGGGACCCCGGTGCGCATCCCAGCCGGGGGCAGGCTCGAACTGGAGGACCACTAGGGTAGGTAATTAGTTTCCAGTAGCATCCTGTGCTCTCTTTGCAGAGAAAGCATCTCCGCTTTGGATCCAGGCACGGGAAGCTCCGGGTCGCTGTGGCCGCGCGGGTCCCTGGGTTCCTGCGCGCTGGGTGAGCTCGGTCCCCGCCCCGCCTCTCGGTGCAGTGCGCAGCGTTGGAGCTGTGACTGGTCCTCTCTGTCTGCGAGCACCAGCCTGGCACGCTGTGCTCAGATACATGAAAGCGAACGGATTTATTTTATTCTGCCCATTTCGTCCCGCCCTTTGCCACATGCATGCCCTAGTTAATAAAATACATTTTAATCACTTATGTATAGCTTCTTTGAATTTCACAGAGAATTTGCCTGTCCCAACGTTTTCCTTTTTATTCCTCCCATTTTCCTTTTCTGTTGTTTTTGATTAATTTTCTGCGCTAGCCAGGACTTCCAGTTGAATGGGGGAATAGCGTGTAATTTGCGCTGTAGCTTTATTCCTTCGTTCCTTTCACCCTACTTCAATGAAACGTAAGAGAATTTGCAGATCTATCAATCCTTTGCTGATCAACTGATGCTTGGTCTTGTTACTAGTTCTACAATTTCAAGAGGGAAACGAGACCTAGGTTGAGGTAAAACGTTGGTAATAAATGTAGTTTGGTGCACGTATAAACGGTTTGTCTTTCACAGAGCCTACAAATCTGGCGTTTTACTAGTACGTGTTTGCTGTCGATTTTTTCCTAATACATTATCTAGTGAAATAAATTATTGTCACCCATGGATATTGAAATAGATGAGTTACTGGTATGTGTCGGGGGGATGAGCCTACGATCTTTTTCAATTAGTATTAATCAACGATTGATTTATATTAATAATTAGGTTAATTATATTAATGATCGATCACATTGCTGACTCAGTTTATAAATATACTTCATTCTTACATAGAAACTTGTCTGTGATGTAGTCTTGTGGTTGTTGTCCTAATATTTTTACATTATTTATATGTTATGTGCAAGAAAACTTGCACTTTTAAAAGTCTTACGCTTTCAGATCTTGGAAATACACAGGAAGACAGGTTTTGTTTTTTTTTTTTTTTTTTTTTTCTCATTTGGAGTTATGAATTAATTGCTCACTTGATGAATCTGCCTGTACATATTTGTAACTTTTCCCTTATGGGCATATTTTTCATCTAGTTTTTTTGGTTTTGTTTTCCTTAATGACTGGATGTCTTGATTTTGTGCCTTTTAGATCACTGTTGGAATACTGCAATGCTGTCTTAAATTCATTACATATATAGATGTAGATGTAGATACAGGTACAGGTACAGGTATAGATACAGATATTATCCCTACAATATCTCTATGATTCATTCTCATTCACAACTTTTTTTTGTGCCCTCTTGCTTTTAAACTTGCTAAGTTTGTCAGTTGAATTAGTTGTCAAGGGATACATGTTTAGATCCTCTGGTTCTGGTAGTTTTTAAAATACATATTTTTAATTTTGTATTCTTCTTAAACCTTTATGTGGCCCTTTTTCCAGCCTTGTAAATCAATGACCCATAAATGCTGATTGTTTTTTCCTCTTGAGTGGTGATGGTGCTTATAAAGATAAAAGTATATGCCCTGAACTGGCAATGGATTTCTAGTTATTTTAATTTTCTTTTTCCACCTGCCATGAACCGGTCCTGTTTCACTAACAAGTGTGTCTGACTTCTTCTTATAAGGCACTGCATTCTAATAGAGCAAATATTACCACCTGATATATTTTATTTACTTTCCTACCATAAAAGATGATAAAATCATTGTGCTTCCGATATATATATATCTCAGGATCTACAAGTTCTCACTACACAGATCAGACTTGCAGTGATCCTCCTGTTTTCAGCCTCCCAAGTGCTGGGATTACAGGTGGGCGCCCCTATGCCCAGTCTCACTTGCTGTCTCAGCATGCCCCAGGGGCAGGGCCGACCCGGCATGTGGTGCTGGAGTATTTATCTTTTATTCAGAGGTTTATTCTCCATAATTTCACATTGTAGGGTCAGAGTAAATGTTACCTTAATGTAGTTGAAGTGAAGGGACAAGAAATAGGACCTTACGAAAAAATATCCTTACCTAGCTCCTAGGACATATGAGGAACTCAGAGAGACCACATTTGGATGGAATCCTTCGCTCAGCTATTCTCCAAAGTGCCCTAGAGGGTTCTAGTTTATGTTTTGGTAATATTTGAGAATAGGAGTTTAATAACAGCTAAGTTTTAAGATTTATGTTTTAAAAGTGTACTCATTTGGCATATAGGCTTGATTATAAATAGGCTTGCATTCATACCCTGCCTCAGCAGCAGCTGTATAACTGGGTAATATTCAGCACATAATTAATTTTTTCAAAGACTTCTCAATTTTAAGTTGTCTGGGATATCTGACTAACAGAATTTCTATAAGAAATAAGACATAGACATCTTGTTCCAAAGTCATTATCCCATTAGGATTGTTGTGATACATACGGTAAACTGTTACATTTTGCATTGACTTTTACATATCTGACTTGTTTTCCTGCAGTAGAAGGAACTTTTGAATTTTCCTCATTTGAAATTTGTGGTACCACACTGCAGATGCCACTATCAGGGGCAGCACACGGCACATGTTCTGCTAGCGTACTGTATGTTATGATCACAAGAGACAGAGACCAGCTGAGACCACCAGGCTTGTGTAAAGCCAAAGTGGAAGGGAATTTATTGTGCCTGGCTGCAGGCAGACCGGGGGCAAAAAGGCCTTCTACAGGGAGCAAAGAGAAGTGGGTCCCCTTATAGGTATGGAAAGAAGGTAAGAGACATTAGGCAGAATGATCTTATTAAACATCTGTGGTCAAAGGTGTCTGGCACTCTTGTATCTCAGTGGGCAGAGTCCTTGAACCCTCTAGATGTTCAAGGACATGCAAAAATTCCTGCCCTGTCTTATCCCCTTTATGACACTCTGTGCTTGCCCATGCCAGCCTCCACCTGAGCTGAGTTCCCTGCTGAGAAGAATGCATCTGCTGGCAGGTGGGTAGGGAGTTGGGAGAGTCAGGTCCCACTTGAGCCTTACCATGTAACGGGAAATTAAGATGTGGATCGCAGAAAGGCACATTTCTCTGCACTCTACATGTGGAATTCAGAGGGTTGATGTTTGAAACTATGTTTGGGGAAACGCTGCTTTTCCGAGGGCGGGGACACGATGGTAAGAGGTTGAGAGTCATGCCTCATACCCTGCCAGTGGGTGCAGAGCTAATTGTGGAAATGAGCCCTCAGAAGTGTGTTGTAGCAATCAGTGCTTTCATGGGTTTGATGCAAGATGTGTTTATTCCTGTGGTTGAAGACACTGCTTGATAATTTTTTTATGCCTTTTGTTATAGGAAAATTGAGCTCTGTAGCAAGACCCTGAACCGTGTATTTGGTTTAGGGTCTTGCTACAGAGCTCAGACTCATAGTGACTGTCCTGTCTTAGCCTCTCCAGTACTGGGATCACAGGCGTGTGCCACCATGCCTGGTTTCCATGACCAACTTGGTGTGGGACCGGCCCACCATGTGGTACTGGGGATGGAATGCTGGTCCTTATGCTTGCCAGAGGGGTCTTAGACCATGGAGCTGCCTCCCCAGGCCCTTTTAGGAAAATGGACAAGAGGACATTTTTTTAGACTTTAGTTAACTTATTTACAAGATATCACTCTTAGTATCTTCTTTATGATCAAGGAGGACCAGAGGATTGTTCTCCAACTTTAGATAAGGTTTCTCAAGCTTTTTACAAGATTAGTGAGTGTGTACCTGGGCGCACGTCATTGTGTGTGTGCATAGGGGAGTTGTCAGTTCTAATTGATGTGCTACAACGTCCAGCATCATGAGTTCATGAGTATGGGGTGGGAGTTTGGAAGAAACTTGGGTTCTTTTTTTTCTTTTTTATTGTGGCTGGCTCAACCCATGGTGCAGCATGTGGTGCCAGAGACTGAATCGTGGTCCCTGTGCTTGCCTAAGCTTGTCTAAGCAGGCACTTTAGACCACTAAGCAATCTCTCCAGCCCAAGATTCGTGTTCTTATTCTGGCATGTGCCTGACCTGTAACTTATCAGTATCTTGCTTTTCTTCATGAAGGTGTCATGGGGGAGGAAAGAAGAGCTGCTGAGTTACAGAAAAATATGATATGGGTGAGTGAAAGAGAATAATTCTCCAGAAGACTTCCCTTCTACTAGGTGTCCTTCAGATGTATAGAGCACAGTTCAGCAATCTGTTTCTGTATCAGGTTAGATGATCAGTATTCTGGGCGTTGGCTGCCCTAGAATTTCTGCTTCAAGGTCTCTGGCATCTTGATACAAAAGCAGCCACGTACATAACATAGATTGTTTCTTTCCTTCCGCCTCTAGAATCCTTTTTGTATTTTTGTTCTTGTTAGCTCACAATTATGACATAGAATGTTCACATTCATTGTAGTTATTGGATTCCATCTGCTCCTCCAGATGACTTTATAGTTCATGTACTGCAAATACATACTACTGAAAAATAAATGTCCATTGAGAGTACATAAAGCAGTGTTTTATTATAGTCAGTAAAACTTCGTTTGTGTAAGTGGGCGCCAGATCACATTTAGCCTGTGTGTCTTAGTTGACTGAGCCCTGGCCTGGTATGTAATAAAACACGTCCAGCTGTGGCTGACTTTGCAAGATAGGTTTGTGCACGCTTGTGGATCTCTCAGGTTATGAAATTAGGAAAAGTTCAAAGCTTCCATTCCCTTACTGTGTTGTTATTCCTTAAAGCCTTTTTGAGATTTAGCCCTGTGATTCGTATTGTGTTGATTGCGATGGTGGGAATAAGTAGCCGGTGCCCTTGTTTCTGAAACAAGCAGCTGATTTGAAAATTATTTTATTTTTAGCACAGTTATCTCATAGATCATGGATTCCTGGGGACCGTTATAGAATTGGAATTGGACACTATATATGCTGTTGTGCAGTATGTGGAGTGGTGCCTCAGTTCATGAATTTAATTCCTATATTCTGGGAAAGTTGGCCGTGTTTGTATTCATTCAGGGAAAATGGCTGTGGTCTCATTTGTCACCCAATGTAGAGTTCACATACAAGGCTAGGGGATGTAGCTCAGTGGCTCAAGCTCTTGCTTGGCAATTGCAAGATCCTGAGTTCAATTTTCAGTACCCACCCTCCCCCTGAAAAAGATGCAGAGCTTATACAGAGAAGCGAAATTTTACCAAGCGTTCTGCTTGCAAACAGAAGTATTTGTGAACCGAGGTATTACTGTATTTGATATTGCAGTGTTCTGGGACAGAGTTCCTAAAACCTGGGAATGCCTGGAGTGGTAGGTCTCACCCTGATTCTAAGATGCCTAGTGGCTGGCAGCTACTAAACTGCCACAGGATGGGAAGATGAAGCCATGATTAAAGGTTTGGAGCTTTTATCTCCATCCTTTCTCCAAATTGATGATGGGAGGAAACTGACAGGTAAGTTAATCACCAGTGAGCCAGTAGTTTAATCAGTCATGCTGACTAGAGAAGCTTCCATAGGAATTCAAAAGGAGTAGGTTTGGTATTCATTGATGGAATAAAACATACCTGATACCCCAGACTTAAGGGAGGAAGTGTTCATTTCGGCTTATGGCTTTAAAAGGTTTCAGTCTGTGATCTGCTAGCTCTTAGGTAGAACCATCATGGCAGGAGGGTTTGGTGTAAGAAAGCTGCTGAACTCATGGTATCTAGAAAGCAAAAAGCACAGGAAAAACCAAAGAGAAGGCAAAGGACCTTGGACACAATTCCCCAGGGCCCAAACCCCTTTTTTTCTTTTTTTTTTTTTTTTTTTTTTTTTTTCCAGTACCGGGAATTGAACTCAGGACCCTGTGCTTGCCAGGCAAGCACTTATGCTACTGATCTATCTCCCCAGATCCCCTCTATGTCTACTTCTGCCAGTTGGCCCCACCCTATCAGCCCATCAGTTATGAACACATCAGTAGTTGGCCCATTGATGGAGGCTGGTGCCTTCACAGTCCTAGCACCTGGCCTGGAACCTCTTAATTTGCTTAAATTGACAGTCAAAATTAGCTGGCATGGGAGAGCTTCTGAACATATGAAGGTTCTTGGAGCAAGGTGCACCTCTTTTTGATATATCATTTCATGTCCACCTTTTCATTTACCTGTTTGTGTGTATATTCTTTGTAATTAGTCAGTAAACATAAAGAAGCATTTCCTTGTGTTCTTTGAGCCATTATGTAGATTGGTAGAACTCAAGGAGTTGGTTATCAGGATCTCTGATTAAAAGGCAGTTTGTTGGAAATATGGGTGAAACCTGTGACTGGGCTTCTGAATTTGGGGATAATGTGGGGCTGAGCTCTTATCATTTGGCATAGTAATATCTCCAGATACTGTGAGCATTTTATTGAATAAAATTTAAAGAAAAATCTCCCACCCATCTGGTGTGAGAAGTGTATATTCAGCAACTCTGTAAGAGTGTAAGAAGTGTGCATTTGTGTTGTATTCAGTGACTTTGTAAGTTAAGTTACTGTGTGCAGTCTCCTTACTATCACACTGTAGAGAAATACATTGGGTATTTTAGAAGTTCTGAGCCTAGCAATAGGTTTTGATCATTTAGGAAGTATGTGTAGTTGGAAAGAGAAAACAATCTGACTGAGTCCCACAGCAGATCCTTGGAGACCATAGAACCATATGAACTTCCTCTGAAGTGATTCTTTGTCCCCAGTATTGTCAGCCTCCTCCATTCTCCTGCACATACTGGGGCAGTTGTACTTTTCTGAAATAAGTAAATAAATTTGTTGATATTTCAGGACTTACTGACCTTTGATGATTTGGCTGTGGACTTTAGCCCAGAGGAGTGGACTTTGTTGGATCTTGCTCAAAGAAAACTCTACAGAGATGTGATGCTGGAAACCTTCCAGAACCTGGCCTCCCTAGGTAAGACTGGCATGATATTCATCCATGTGGTTTAGAAAACAGTTTATGTTTTCATTTCACCTTGTTCTGGGATTTGAGCTGAAGAATGGGAAGGCATTGGTAGGAAAGGCAGGCATGGCCCCTGATGTCACAATGTTCTCTGGAGGTTTTATCCTGTAAATACACACTACTGTAATTAGACCTGCTGTTTATTTTTCTGTGGTTGAAAGTGTTGAAGCATATTGAATGTTGAAACTGTAGGCATTGAGGGTTCACTTTGGAGTACAGGAAGAGTTTGAAACCTTGTGAGGATTTTACTGTTGTGAATGTTGTTTACCAAAAGACCATAAGGAAAACACCTATAGATAAGCAAGTTAATTTTCTCAGTGCAGCACAGAAGAGTATTCCCTATGGAGAACTGTGGGCCATCTTATTAGGAGGACATTAAAGAATATTGTACGATTTATGCTTTAGTTGAGTGTTTTGGGATTTGGGTTGTAGAAGTGGACTGTATTAGTTTCTTAGGCCTTTTTAAAGTACCATGCATTGGTCGTTAATGTCAATGAAATTTATTCTGTCATGTTTCTGAATGTCATATTTCATATTCCTGAAGTTTAAAATAATGGTGTCATGTGGATGATACTTTCTCTGAAGGCTGTAGGAGAAATGTCCATCTCTGTTTCTTCTCAGCTTCTGGTGGTCATGGGCAGTCCTTGGTGTTCTTTAGTTTATAGATCTATCACTCAAGTTTCTGCCTGTCATCTTTTTTTCTTTGTGGCTGTTTCAAATCTCTAACTGTATAGTGACACTAGTTATTGGGTTTAAGACCTACTTTAATCCAGAATAACATCTTAAATTGACCTTCAAAACCTTATATCCATATAAAGTAGCATTCTAAGATTCTGGAGGAAACATTTTAATAGGCTTTTTTTTTTTTTTTTTTTTTTTCGGAACCGGGGATTGAACTCAGGCCCTTTTGCTTGCCAGGGAAGCGCTTATTCCACTGAGCCATCTCCCTGGCTCTGGCTCTATTATTTTTAGACCAAGTTTATGTTCATGTTTTAAATTTAGCAGAAGATAGAGTTCATATGTACCCCCAATCCCCCCACACAATTCTTCCTGCATTATGAGCATCCCTCATCAGGTGGTATTTATATTGTAGTAGCTGAACACATACTGATGCATTCAATGATATATGTTATAACAGAGTCTAGTTTCTATTTGGATTCACTCATGCTTTACATTCTGTAGCTTTGAAAAAATTTACAGTGACATGTATCCACAATTGTGTCACAAAGAGTAATTTCACTGTCCTGAAAGCCCTGTTGCTCTACCTATTCATCCCTCACTCTCCCTTAATGCTTTGTCCATCCCTTTGATGTTTGTACCGTCTGTATCATTTTGCCTTTTGTAGAATGTCACATGGTTGAAACAAGTCACATGTAGCCATTTCAGACTGACTTCTGTCACTTACTAATATACATTTGAGTTTCTTCTGTATTTTTTCATGACTTGAGAGCTCATTTCCTCTTAGTGCTAAATAATATTGTTGTTGGACTTTGCTAAACTTTATCCACTCACCTCCTGAGGGGGATCTTATTTACTTTCATGTTTTGGCAATGACACATGGATCTGTCATAAGCACTTATGTGTAGGTTTTTGTGTAAATACAAGTTTTCTCATCTCCTTTGGGTAAATACTAAGCACAAATCCATTGCTGGAGCCTATGGTAAGAATATGCCTAATTTTCTAAGAAGCCATCATACTATCTTTCAAGCATTGAGTTATTTTATATTCCTGCCAGCAGTGACTATGAGCTCTTATTGCTCCACATTCTTGGCAGCACTTATCTTTGCCTCTGTTCTGTAGGTGAGTATAGAGTATCAGTGTCTGAATTCACATTGCTCTGATGATCTGTTTGCAGAGCAGCTTTTCTGTTTTGCCTGATGAAGTTACTTGACCACAGATAACTCAGCTTGTTGATTTATTGCAGACTTGTGCATTCTCATACTGAGCAACATTGCAGCCAATTTTTTTTTTCCAGTTTTGAAACAGAGTCTCAGCAAATTGCCCAGGTGGGACTTGAACTTGTGATCCTCCTGTCTCAGACTCTCTGAGTGCTAGGATAGCACCTGTATGCTACTTTAATAACAACTAACTACTTTAATCATTTATTTGTCCTGTCATGCTTACCTTATTCTTGTAAAGGCTATATTTGCTTTAAAAAAAAGTTAGCATTTGGTGAGTACATTTTACTCAATCTTTTTGTTTTTTTCTTCTACATGACCACCAGTGTGAGGTTTCCCAGAACTGTTTCTCAGTGAATTGCAAACCATGCACCAGTTAATGCCAAAGTCCAGAGAGAACCACACTGCCAAAAGTACTTTCCTAACTGATGGTTTCACCTTTTTCTTTCAGGTTTTGAGATTCTATTTAAAAGTAGTGAATCAGTTGTTTTGCCTGATAATGACTATGAAAAAGTATCTAATAAAGAGAAAGTCATAACATTAACCAGAAATAGTTCCTGGTTCTCCATTTTACATGAAAACTGGGAGCACTGTGGTACTGATGAGATGAATAAAAGCCTTGGGAGGCATTTGAGGTACGTGCCCTTCACAGATGAGAAAGTGGCTTCACAAAAGAGAATTTAAAGTGTCTTGAGATTTTAAGAAATGTGTTCACATAAGCCCACATCAAAAGTTATAGTCTCTAGTTGGATCCATTTACCTATAAAAGCCTCAACGTTACCTTTCCATAGCTGAGTAATACTCCATTATGTAAAAATACCACATCTTTTTTATCTGTTCCTCAGTTGATGAACATTTGTGTTGCTTTCAAGATTTAGCTATGACAACTTGTGCTGCTATAAACATGGGTGCACATATATTTCTGTGGTATTATGTTTTCAGTTCTTCTATAAAAATATGCAAGAGAGGAATACCTGGGTTCGATGAGACCTGTAATTCTAGTTTTTTCAGGAATCTCCACATTGATTTCCATAGTGGTTGTACCATTATTGCTAATTTTTTTTCTTTTTACTTATTTTTTATTTTCTTTAAACAAAAAAATGAAAAAAAAATTGTGATTTCACACAGCATTTTTTTCTGTAAACTTCCTACAAATGAAACTGAGATATTAAATGTTTTACATATACTTTAGTTGTAATCAATCATCAAAGAATTCCTACAAGTCACAGGACTGATGAAACTGTTGACTGGTAGAGCCATCTGTGAGAATGTTCAGCTTGTAAATTGACAAGCAAAAAACGTATATACTCACTGAAAATGGTAAAAACCAAATACTGATAATAATGTGCCTTTTATTTTTAGAAGTCACATTGTGGAGAATACCTATGAATGTAATGAAGAAAATCAAAGTGAACAAATTCCAAATCTTCCTGTGCTAAACAGAACCACTGAAGTAAAATCCTATGAATGTCATGAATGTGGAAAGGCCTTCCCATGTCATGCATCCCTTAAGACTCACATCCGGTCTCATACTGGAAGCAAACCATACCAGTGTCAGGAATGTGGGAAAGCCTTCCATTTTCTTGCTTATTTTAAGAAGCATATGAATACTCCCACTGAAGAGAAGCCCTATGAATGTAAGGAATGTGTCAAGGTCTTCAGTTGTTCCTCATTCTTCAGGGCTCATATGAAGATTCACAGTGGAAAAGTAAGCTACAAATGTGAGGAATGTGGGAAAAGTTTCAGTACTTCTTCATACCTCACAGAACATAAAAGAATTCACAGTGGAGATAAGCCTTGTGAATGTGATGTGTGTGGAAAGGCCTTTAGTTGTCCTTCATCACTCTCCCAACACAAAAGAATTCATAGTGGGGATAAGCCATATGAATGCAAGGAATGTGGCAAGGCCTTTAGTTCTTCTTCTCACCTTATAACACATATCAGAATTCACACTGGAGAGAAGCCTTATGAATGCAAAGAGTGTGGGAAGGCCTTCAGTGAATCCTCAAAACTCAGTCGACATATGAGAGCACATACTGGAGAGAAACCTTATAAATGTAAGGAATGTGGGAAAACCTACAATTGCCCTTCCTCCTTGAGTATCCACATGAGAAAGCACACTGGAGAGAAACCCTATGAATGTCTAGAATGTGGGAAAGCCTTCTATCTTCCAACTTCTCTGTATACACATGTGAAAAATCAGAGCAAAGAGAAACCATATGAGTGTAAGGAATGTGGAAAGGCCTTCAGTTGTCCCTCATCCTTTAAAGCACACGTGAGAGATCATGCCCGAGAGATACAATATGAGTGTAAGGAGTGTGGGAAAGTCTTCAGTCGTTCCTCATCCCTCACTGAACACTTGAGAACTCACAGTGGAGAAAAGCCTTATCAGTGTAAGGAATGTGGGAAAGCCTTTATTAGTTCCTCTCAGCTTACAGTTCACAGGAGAACTCACACTGGAGAGAAGCCTTATGAATGTAAGAAGTGTGAGAAATCCTTTATGTATTTCTCAGCCTTCAGCTTCCACATGAGAATGCATACAGGAGAAAAACCATATGAATGCAAGGAATGTGGGAAGGCATTTCGTCATTCTTCATACCTAACCATCCATGCAAGAATGCACACTGGAGAAAAACCCTTTGAATGTCTGGAATGTGGGAAAGCCTTCAGCTGTCCCTCTTCTTTTCAAAGACACATGAGAAGCCACACAGGAGAGAAACCATACGAATGTAAGGACTGTGGGAAAGCCTTTATTTGTGCAGCCTACGTTCGAAGGCATGTGAAAATCCACACAAGAGGAAAACCATGAAGGTTAAGAATATGGGAATACCTGAAAAATTTTTTTCTTTTTCTTTCTTCTTTTAATGTATTTGGTACAGGGTCTCACTATACAGTTTGGACTCATAGTTATCCTCCTGATTTCAGCCTCTCTAGCACTGGGATTACAAGTCTGTGCCACCATGCCCAGATTGGGTCACTGGCTCAGCATGCCCGGGAGCTGGGCCAGTGTGGCCTGAGATGTTTGGGATCAAACCCCAATCCCTGCACTTGCCTAAGCAGGTGCTTAGTCTACTGAACTATCTCACTGGCCCTCAGACTTCTTATTGTAGGCAACTTCTTGAATCACATATGTGAAGAGATTCTATTGATGTGAGAAAGTAGAATATTTCTTATCATTTTGAAGACTAGAGCAAAACCTGAGAGAAACTTTGTATATGAAAGCCATATAGTAAAACCTTGCTGAACATTACTTACTGTTTACCAGAAAATTCATACTGGGAAGGATTTGGGCCTTATCCTTGAAAGTAAACTGAATACTTACTGAGTTGCAGTGTTTTCTAATAAGAAGGTGATAAACTTACCTTATCAGCTCTAGGACCATATTTTGAATGAGGTACATTTTATTTTTGTGCCTGGCTCAGCCCACCCTGGGGGCAGGGCTGCACAGCATGTGGTGCTGGGGATCAAACTGCAGTTCCCTGTGCTTTGCCTAAGCTTGCCTAAGCAGGCGCTTTAGACCACTGGGCTATATCACTAGCCCTGTATGAGGTACATTTTTGTTGTTGTTGTTTTGAGACATGGCCTCATTTGTAATATAGGCTGGCTCTGGACTCACAGTGTCCTCCTGCTTCAGTCTCCCCAGTGCTGGGATTACAGGCATGCACCACCACAGTAGCCCATAAGGTACATTTAAAAAAGTTTCTTATTAGTATATGTTTAGTGTATATAATAAGCGCATTCATTGTGTGGAATTACTATATGTACCTATCACATCTTGATCCTTTTTATTTTCCTTGTCTCCCATCTTCCTCACTTCTAGCATCCCTATTTCCACAAAGTCAACCCCCATGTTTCCCATCATCATTTATTTTGCTCTTTAAATTATTTGTATATTATTATGTAAGAAACCATATTATATTTAATTTTTTTAAAAATTATTTCTTCTTACTCTACCAGAAAAAAAAAATCATTTCAATTAGCATTATAGTCTCAAGGCACATCTATTTTTTTAAAAAAATTATCCTATAGTTGGATATTATTCCACATTATATGTGTGTGTGTGTATTTTCCAGATGTAAATACGATTGCCATTAGTCTTTTGGATCCATGTGGAGTTTGAGGTTTGTGTTTTCATATGTAGGCAGGAGAGTGATCTTTTATACTTTTCATTTCCTTTTGGGTTCTTTTTAAGATTTTTGGTGAGGGGAGATCCATTGCATCAGACGGTGAAGATTGCCTAGCCAGGAATTTTCCTTCTCTTTTTTTACTATGAGAATCTGCAGATCTGGGAATTAGGAGTTTACTTTCAAAGTATTGGATCCAAATCCCAGCCAAGTGCAAGGACAAAGAACAAATATGAAAATAGCAACTAGACCATACTCTTTCTTAGGTTTTGTATTCATTAATTTCTGCTGAGATTATTATAATGGTTTTGATAGTAAAAACATTTCATGAGACAGTGTGCTCTGTGGCCATGGGAGCCAGGTCACCATGGTGTTTTTCCTAAACTAAAACCTCAGCCTTGAGGTTTAAGGGCAGTGTTGGCATTTTGTGATAGAGGGCTTCGTGTTGCAGTTTGGTCACTCATTCTCTGTAAGTTTTGTCACCACTGAGTTAGACCAGGGATGCTTGACTCTTCTGTGCTTTCTGTAATATTATGATGTCAGAGAAGAGCTCTATGTACTGATTTCTCAAGGCTGTACAACTGTACATCACGAGCCTGTATCTTTAACTCATCAAGTTGCTGTTCCTAGTCCAGTGGACTCCATGCCTGTGTCTCCACTCAGATTTATAACTTTTATCAGAGAAATATAGATTGGTATAGACATATCAAATAGAGTGGTGTTGTATATGTTCATCATTAATACATATTTAGTAAATTCTATGATTCATATATTTATTATAAAACATTGGACAAGTACTAAGTATTGCCTTCTTTAAGTGCCTTACATCTCTAGAGATGAGTTTGATTCTCTTTATTTACAGATGAGCACAATCTGTATGGAATGCTGGTATGGTTGACACAAGCTACACAGTGAATAATTGAAAGATGTGGGTCCTGGACTTAGGTCTATTGTCTCTAGTCTTAGGATTCTTATACTCTGAAGGAGTGTTTTTCTTTTTGTTGTCAGTCTTGATTGAGTACAGATGCCTGAGCTGAGCCAAAACCATGAATTCTTCATTGAGGTTCAGGAAGTTCATCTATGAAGCAGGTTAGAATCAGTGGTTTCCAAGGGCATTTATGATGCGAGAGCTGTGGATTCTAGAGTTTTCTGTGAGTGAAAATTAGAATGTTAGAACAAAAATGAGAATCTCAGATATGAAAATATTCTTTAATGTGAAAAGAAGCTATCATGGAATGATTATGACCAGGCACATTGAATATTTCTTAATACCTCTCAATAGGGAAATGCAGTTGATAGACCTAATTTTTTTTCCCAAATGTAGGCAATAATATAGTGTAACAAAGCATGGACTGGATTTCATAATTCAGTTACCATCCATGCACATATAGTACAGAATTTTCACAGGTATGATGAAAGAAACATAGGACTTTGAATTTTTCTCATAGGAGATTGATCAAGTGAAGCCCAATACTTCAGTAATTATTGTGTATCATTTAAAGTGGTACAGCTAAATGTAAGTACTTCATACAAATACATTAAATGAGTGTTAAGCGCGGAGTCCTGAGTTCAATCCCTGGTACAAAAAAACAAACAACAACAACAACAACAAAAAAAAACCTAAGATGTTAATCTGGGGACCTGCCCAGTAGCTTAGTTGTTTAAATGCCTCTTTAAACAAAGCCCTCAAGCTCAAACTTCTGGGATTCCAACCCAGACAGTCACTGCAAACCAGAAATGCCCTAAAGGCATTTCGAGCCTCCAAAAAAAAAAAAACCTTCTACCATTGGGGACAACCTGCTCAGGGGCCCCCTCCTGTCCCTCTCTTGGACAGGAGCTTTCTTTCCCTCAATAAATATTCTGCTTATAACCTAAAAAAATAAAAATAAAAATAAATAAATGAGTGTTGTAGTAAGCATAAATATGTATAGTAATATAGTCCATAAATTTTTAAGACTTACATAAACTAATGCTATGGAATTTTGACAAAATGAACTTAACAAATTCTTACAGTGTTTAGGGAGCAAGTATATGAAGGAATCAGAATATATTCTGAACCCCTGTAAAAATCTATGGCTACACAAACCTCAAATATTTCTGGAAATATTTCAAAGTTCCATAAAGAGTGCTAATGAGAACGTTAATTGAAATTTTAACATAGTTAATGTGGGTTTTTTTGTTTATATTTTTATGTTTTGAATTTTTTGTGGTATTTTAGTACAGGGTCTACAGGGTCTCACTATGTAGATTGGATTGTAGTGATCCTCCTATTTTCAGCTTCCCAAGTGATGGGATTACAGGTGCGTGTCACCATGCCCAGTCTCAATTCCCCTCTCAGTGCGTCTTGGGGCAGAGCTGGCATGGTAGGCAGGGGACCGAACCTCAGCCACTGTTCTGCCTAAGAAGGTGCTTTAGTCCACTGAACTATCTGGCTGGTCGTATGTTTTGAGTTTTGTAATGAGTAGTTTAGATGGAGAGTGGGTATAGCATTTTTAAAGACATATACTCAGAGACGATAGCTACCTTGGGGGTGACAGAAAAAGTGTCTTCAAATTGGTGTTAGAGAAAAGCAGATATCCTAAGGCAGGACAAAATATAAAGTTCAACAAGGAATGATAAATGAAAAAAAAATTTAGCTGGACTAAACTTCAGTGCTTAGGGAGAGTGTGAGGGGAAGCTGGACCACTCCTGTATCATGGTACCCCACATCACACAGCAGACTTTGTATGCTTGGATTGAGGGAGCGAGCTGCCCCTCAGGGACAGTGTTGCTGATGGAATGAACTCAGAAGCACTCTAACCTCTTTACTGGGCACAGTAAGTGAGACATAACCAGGGAAGCCAGAAGCACGGTAGGCTGGAACAAATTTCCATATACCCACAGCCTGTAAGTGGTAGCACTCCAGTGCCAGTGAACAGCAGAAGTATAGGAAGAAGAAAGACTTGACTGGTACAGGAAAACAGTTACTTATTACCCCCATGTATGATTGGAGTCCTTTTAATGGAACATTCACCACATGACCCAAAATTGCCCATAGGCTCCTCTAAGCCATCACCAGCATCTGCTTGCTGGAGATACAGAGGCAGGAAGACCTAAGATGGTGATAATTCAGAGTAAAGAAAGGAGTGGGGATCTATTAGGGGAGATACAGGCTTCTGCCAAAGTCAGAGGATGAAGTAAAACTGGCTGTTGTCTCCCCAACACTAGAAAGGGCTGAAAAAGTTGTGGCCCAATGCCTCACACTGACAAAAGTGCTCAGCTGAATGTAGGTGTGGCACTAAGTTCTGTCAGTGGAGTTGGGATCAACATCTGTGGGGAGATGATGATCGGCACCTGGGCCAGTGCCCCTTTGGTCATGTATTAATTTGGCAAGGAAAGCCTGTGGAGGGAAGAAACATAAGCACCCATGATAGTTATCCTCCCATCTGTTAAGGATATTGGATCTATGGAGCACTACACTGGGTCACACATGCAGCATGCCTGTTACCAAGACCCATGTTCAAAGGGTACAACAGCCCTCGTAGCTTCAGGCTGTTATCTGGGCCTTAGGGAAACTTCTTGATTTCTCACAATGAGACCACACTCTTGTGTGTGAGGGAGCTGTGTGACTGCTCTACGAAAATGCCATAACCGCTATGTCACTGTTCTATCTTTATTTCTGTTTTTATTCTGGTTGGTGTAGTTAGTGTTTCCTCACTTCTTTGTTTCACTTGAGTCATGTTGGTTGATCCCAGAGGTAAAGAATTTCATATAATTCATATAAACAACA